GAGGGGGGGGGGGCACTGATTGGTGGGCCTGATGGGTAGTCCTTCAGAGCTAAACAAAAAAAGAAATCTGAAGCTTTTATGTTTAACAGTTTGAGTTATAAGCCTTTTTGCATGTCCTGACACCCCCCCTTTGAAAGGAGCCCCCTCCTCAAATATGGGGTCTATCGTATCTACACTCCTGCCAAATTTCATGTTGACCGGTGCAGTCGTTTTTGTGCTACGGTTGACCAAAAATCACTGAAAAAGCAAACAAACAAACAAACAAAAAAAAAAAAAACAGTACGAAAACAATATGACTCCAGCTGTCTTTCCTTTTGTTCAGTTTAATTTGTCTTTACTTCTGAATCAAAGCTATTTTTTTCTGAAACAATCTTGTGTTTGGCAGACTTACCTTCCTCGGGCATCTCTGGTGTTAATCATGTGAACACCAGCAGATTCCAGCAGCCTCTCTGCAGGACCGCTGTGGCCATTCATCCTGCAAACATCACAAAAGAGTCGATGAAGTTAGTTTATCTAAATTAAATACATTTTGACTTCTTTGGACACACAACTGAAGTATAATGTAACACTCACAAAGCACAGTGCAGGGGAGTGAAAGGGTTTCCCTCTTCATGTAAAATTGTTTTTAATTCAAGTAAAACCTCCAAACAGTCTTCATGCCCTAGACACAAACCCACAGCAGATTTTTGATGGGATTAATTAGATCATTTTTGTTAGAGGTTTCCTCATTTTCAGCTTATCATCAAGTTGAGCAAACCTTTGTAAGCAGCCCAGTGTAACGGGGTGTATTGTTTGTTGTCCAGCAATTTATCTTGCGAGTCAGTTGCCACAGCAGCCTGCACCAGATTGGCCAGTATCTCTGCGTATCCTCTGGAGGCAGCATAGTGCAGTGGTGTCCTACCCTGGGCGTCCCGACATAATGCAGAAGCTCTGTACTCCAGCAGGGTCATTACACAGTCATCGTGTCCTAAAACAGCCTGTCAAACAGATCAACAAGGACGGATGACAAACTGCTCTAACATAAAAAAATAAACTCAAAACATAACAATAACCATATTTTTAAAATTTAAAATATAGCTTTAATCTGAGAAATGACTGTACAAAATGTATCAGAAGCTGTTAAATTGTCCTAATGCTACATGTACTTAGAACAGCAGGACAAGAGTGGAGAGTTGGCAGCACTGTATCGAAATATAAAATCAGGAAAGCCTATATGTAAACCTAAAAACAGCATACCAGTACTACCCAACATATTGGGATGATACTGGCTCAGAGGCTGCTTCACTACAGTTTTCTCCCGTGCTGAACATCATGGCCTTCCTGGGACTTTAACACTTTACGAAAAGGTATTTAAAAAAAAGGTTACAGATGGACCGTGACTGGAGACTGAAAACATCACAACAGCAGCTACTGAAGCTGTAAAATCTCTACCCACCATCTGTATCAGGKTCAGTTCAATTTATTCTTTGTGTCTTCCATTCGCTTCACAAAACAACTGCAACCCCTCTGTTGCTTACATTGTTTCTGAAACTTATGTTGAGTAAAAAAAAAAAAAAAGGGGGAAAAAAAGAAAAAATGGTGGACCGTAGATTGGCGGGGCATCCTGAGGCGTTGCCAGCTGATAGAGGGCATCATAAAGCAGAACAAGGATTAGCAGGGCTCGAGCTAAAAGCTTGATTTTAGTGAAAATATATATATATTATTTATATTAATTTTTTTCTGTTTTGTTCCTTGAGCCTTAAATACATAGTAGCTGCATTTCCATTGCAAATGTGCGCAAAACTTTGTCGATATTCTGTTAATGTTGAAAAAACACAGTTTCGCAATTGCAGTGATTAAGCAAGAAATGCCATTAAAGTCACACGTGAATACATTTGTTCTCGCGATAAGTCATTACAAACATGGCAGCAACGGATGTAAACACATAGCATATTGCTACAGTGACACTAGCGCTCATTATCAGAGGAGACGTCGGTGTCTTATCGAGGCTTTCGAGCGACAAGCCCCTTATACCTGGGAGCAGATACGTATGCTGTGTTTCTGGGAAACTGTAGTCGTGAGTTTACTACTTTCTTTTACTACTTCTGTGATTTTACTACTACTTCTACTTCCTGTTGTCTTTTTCGTCTTTTCGCCAGTAGAAACAGCCGGTTCTTAATCACATGACTCTCGTGATGCGAAAAAACTGTTTCCACTGCAGTTTTGTGAAACACACCAATTTCGATACAGCCGAAAATCCACCTGATCCTAACGCAAAAACATTTTGTGGAAAAACGTAATTTTTTTTTCGAAATTGACGTTTCCATTGAGCAAATTTATTTTCAAAATTCTAATCTGCGCATTGTCAAGGTCAATGGAAAAGCAGCTAGTGAGTGCTTCTCTTGCCTGACCTAAAGGAATAGGATGAGAACAAGGAAGTTCCATTTACAGCTCTCGAAACAGTCATGGTGGATGACTGAGAACGTTTGTATTTAGTGTAATATACTTACTAAATTAAAAATTTGAGATTATTTCAACATTTTATTGTAAAGGTTGCAGACAATCAAAAATTTTGGCAAAGCAGATTTTGTTAATACCCTTATACCCGTGAATGTATGAAGTGATGTTGACCTACCCCTCTGTGCAAAGCTGTGCAGCCCCTCTTGTCCTTAGCGTCTGGCAGGGCACCCTTCTCCAACAAGTAGTGGACACAGTCAGTATGACCTCCCACAACAGCCAACATTAAAGGAGTCCTGAAGAATAAAAACATGTGCATTTAGGAAAATGAGTTCATGGCATTCAAAATATTTTAATTCAGGTCGCGTTTCTAAGAAAACTCACTGGCCAAATTTGTCCGTCACGTTCGTTAGATCCCCCTCCTCGCCATAATCAATCATCATCCTCAAGCAGTCTGAGTGACCATTGGCAGCTGGTGAAAACACACACAAAATTTAACATTCAAGGTAACAATCAGGAAGCAATTGCTTTAGAAAGCAGTCTTCTAGCTGCGAGCGGCACTACCTGCAACATGAATTGGAGTCCACATGAGATGGTTGTCATTGAGAAGACAGGAGGCTCCCTGAGCCAACAGAACCTCCACGCAGCGCGCATAGCCTTTCTGTGCAGCCAAGTAGAGCACAGAACGACCAGCAGCATCCTGCATGTCCACGTAGGCTGCCGTTTCTGTGAGCACTCGCAGAGCTTGCCAGTGGCCCCTGTCAGCCTGAGGAAGCAGATACGAGCCGGTCACAGCTTTGCATTTAGTCTGATTAACAGCCAAATTACGGGCAGAGGCGACATCGTGTGCAACACTTACAGCAAGATGCAGGGGACTGACAGGAATACTGCTCTCTATGTCTCCTAGTGCATTAAAGGACATCTCCAGGAGCTAAAAATAAATAACAGCAGTCAATAACAAAATGTGAAACATTACCATCTTAGAATCAGGACAAATTAACAAGACAACATGAAAAACAACACCATTAGCAAAGTGTTTCCAAGAAATGCTTTTCAGAGAGCCATTTGCTTATGCTTAATTGCCTCAATTACACTGCTGGGCCAACAGAAGCTAGAGCTATCTTTGTGTTGGCATGTTTTTACAGACCAGCACTTCAAGCTCTTTCTATTTCAACAGTGCTTGTCCAACAGCAGTAAGAAAATCCACCCACAGCGTACTGCGTCACTGAAAGCTTCACACAGACTACTGCTTTAACAATTTGTACGTTTCAATTACTGTAACCTTAGAGACTGCAGGTCACACAGACTTTGGGGAAATTACATAAAAACAACAGATTTAGACTGAAGGATCTGTAACTGTTACACTGAAAAACTGCTTGGTTTACAGGGTGACAGAAAGCAATTCAAAAGCAAATATTAAAGACATAAAAATGATTAGACAAATTCAAATAATTCAGATTATTGAAGTATTAAATCCCTCAATCTCATCCTAAAAGTAATTACTGCCTTTTTTGGCATTGTCTCATACCAGAGCCCAAATGTTATTGTAAGGTCAAAAGCTCTAACTTGTAACTTCCAACTCCATATAAGTCCTGAAACTGTGAGGAGACACCGTGGATCCTGGCACACAGTTGCTCAGTGGCTTTTGTTAATGTAAATAAATTATTTTTACCATTTCAGCAAAAACAGAAGCAAGTGAATTTTAATAGGACATATTCAAGGAAAAAACAAAAGTTGTCCATCAAACTGAGGGAACTCACACGTTTATTCTTCTATCCTCATGGGGACTTTGCATCGACTTCCAGTCATTTCTATAGCCTGACCCTGACCCCTTAATTTAAACCCAGTGGTGGGCACAGTTCCCCTAAAGCACTAAAGCACTAATAGGGGAACTAATTTCTTTATTAGTGCTTTAGGGCTTTTGCTATTTTTTACAATCATTAATGGATTAGCATTTGCTAAATTTATGGGCTAAATTTAGAAGCACTAACTGAGGTTTATAAATGTTATTGATCAACATTATTGTTCACAGCTGAGGGTGAAGCTGTCATATTTTGTTCATGTGTGTCACTTATCTACAAGGACACATGTCAAACTCAAGGCTCACGGGCCTAATGTGGCCTGCAGGTGACTCCCATTTGGCCCAGCAAGGGCACAAAGTTATAATAATCTGCACACAGTAAATATTGTCTCATGTTGACTGAAGAATGTTTCATGTGTCAGCTGGATTATATTAGTGCTTTAGAATTAGCTTTTGCTACATTTTTAAGTACATTAATGCTTTAAAATATTTGAGTTAGTGCTTTAGGGTTAGTGCAACTAATATTTAGATTAGTGCTGCCCACCACTGCATAAACCTAACCCCACAGGTACCCACCTAAACCTAAAACTAACCTAAACTCAGTTCACACCTTGGTCCTAAACCTAACCCCCCACCCATAATCAGCCTCCGAAGTTGTGGGGACCGGGTTTTGGTCCCCACAAGGCTGCATTTTCCTGAAAAACTCTCCCCACCAAGTAGCAAAAACAAGGGCACACGCACACAAGTGAACTCGTAACAAAGCAACACTCACCAGCTCCAGGTTCTGCTTGTTGCCGTGGTAAGCTGCATAGTGAACAGCGCTGTAACCTTTTGAGTTGACCATTGATGGATCAGCACCATTGTCCAAAAGATGCTCCAAGCAGCTGTGTTCATGAGAAGATGACAACATGGATTATTTTTTACTTGAAATAAGTGTTGTGGTCAAACAAAGAGAAGACAAGGAAAATAAAACTTACAAATACGACTCCCTTGTTTCATCCTCATTACTCTGATGGTTCCCAGAAAAACTACGATCAGTTCTGTAATGTTAAAAAAACTTTTACTTTAACAAAATTCGATATCCTTTCAGTGGCTCAATAGACATTTATTTAACTCTGAACTGAAGATGTTTCCAACCTGCTGAAGGCTTGGGAGGCAGCACAGTAGTGCAGGGGAGTACAGCCTGTCTGGTCAGGCTCGTTGACCTCAGCGCCAGCTCCCACCAGGGTTACAGTGCACTGGTACCTCCCATTAGCAGCAGCATAGTGCAATGGTGTCCTGCAAAAAGCCACTCAAAATCACTACTTGTTTCAAATATCTAACTCATTACATTCAGCCACAAAGAAAAAAAAAACTGAATGCACAAGCAATATGACGGGAAACTCACCTTCCCATTATGTCTCTCTTATTCAAGTCAGTACCGCTACTTAAGAGCAAGTTCAGACATTCAACATTTCTGTAAAGACACATTACWGTTAGATGAGAAAAGGCAAATTTGTGATATGAAAACACAAAAAGTACACTCTGTTACCCTCCAGAGGCAGCAGCGTGTAGACAGGTCCTTCCAAAGTTGTCCGGGGTGTTAATGTCAAACCCAGCCGATAGTACATGTTCTTTACTCATAGATGAAACTATACTATACAGCTGACCTGTAGGATTAAGAAAAGCTAGAGCTGAAAGCTACATCATATGGACACAAAGACAGATTTTTACAGCTTATGTAAACTCGAAGGCACACGTTCTTGGAGCAGACCTGAGGAGAGTAACTTGCGACAACAGTCTGAAAACCCGTACAGCACAGCTAAGTGCAAAGGAAACATTCCATGGATCCCACGTCTGAAAAATGAACAAAAACAAAAAAACTCATTCAGCAAAACTCAGTAATATTACAACTTGACACATTCATGCATTAACTCATCTTTGATAAGATTATATTTTACTGGTAAACACAAAAAAACAGACATGCGTATCCCCCAGCAAACTACCTGGCCGTGTCTGCTCCGTTGGTCATCAGAGTGCTGATCAGCAGTTCATGACCATACTTAGCAGCAACGTGGAGAGGGGTATTGCCATACTTATCCACACAGTCGATCTCCCCACCTGATGCAAACGAAAGAATGAGGAAATGAATCAAAGACGCATTTAAGAAAAGARTATGAAAACATTTTCTCACAGGTTACCATTTTGGATGAGGATCTGAGAGCGTGTGAARCGTCCGTGAATGGCTGCCATGTGCAGGGGGCTCTTCCCTTCTTTACTCTGAGGAGGGTAAGAAACTCATTACTCACTAATGTCACATATTCTAATGAATTTATGTCACACAGTAACACTGTTTCATAAAGACCTGTTCAGGTAATGCACAGTCTAAAGTCTCAGTAAATATTTGAATYATTTTTTAACATAGCTTTGATTCTTTTCAAACATTATTTCTAAACCAAAAACCTGTATGATACACTTCATCTATCCTGCTTTGTTGAGTCTTATTGTTCAGAAGAGCTACAGAACTAAAACATTTCACTTTTAGATTACACCAAGATATTCTGCAATAAAAAACCCAGAGATTTAAACATTTACACTCAGTTATTATCTGTGTTTGAATTATTCATTCTTCAGACTCTTCTGTAAACGTGATGCAGAGAAATGGTGCATGCTGGACATTTGTTATTTACCTTTCACCTGACATTAAAGGATCTCACTTTAACCCTTTGTGGGTCAGACATTTCTGACAAAAATGTGTCCTTTAGGCAAAGTAAATCATGTCAGCATCCCACAGGTTGTGTAACACCAAGCARCTGTGGATGGAAGAAGCTGAAAACTTCACTTTACATGATGCAGCTGAATGAACCCTCAGTGATTTATTACTGATGACTTCTGGTATAGCAGTTAATAATTTGATAAAAGCATGTCACTCCTTTGTGTGGGCTAATGGAACAGGCCTTAAACTCTAAAACTCTAAATGATCAAGGCAAAGTTGTTAAAGAAATATGAAATTGTTTAATTTGTATGAGTTACTGTTTGAGGAGTTAAATTTTTTGTTTTGTTTTCATTATTTGTTTTATTATTGTTTGAAATTAATATAATTTTTTTGTAAATAGGAGCAGATAAGATT